CTACATTCTTCTCTGCCTGCCTTTTCAGTTTCTGAAATTAAAAAAGAAAAACCAATTAAAGATTTGATAGCCGATGAGGGGGGGGAAGCACTTTGTTCAATATGAGGAACAGGCAGTGGACCCAACCCCTTTACTCACCATGACCAGTTTCTTCTTCTCATAGTGAATTTTAGCCTTTCCCTTCCGCTTTTCTTCCAAAGTTGCTGTTACAGCCTGGTACTTCCATCCAACCTCATGGGCAAGACGACCCAGGAACGCAAACTGCAAGAAAAGCACCCACAAACTGATATCAACTCGGACGATTAGTGGGCCAGACCCTTCAAGCCTTATGGAGACTCTCCAAGCACAATACATGATCACTTCCCACATCTTATTGCATTCATTTACAACAAGCCAGCTGACTCAAACCGTTGGGCATACAAGTTTATGTTTCCCTTGAAACTAGACCGGAGGTGGCATACATTAAAAATTAACCCCACCCCAGCCAGGTTACTATAAGCACAAACTTATTTTAAAAGGCGTAAACTCAAACTAAACATAAAACCTTGTTCGTCTGTGCTCAAACCATAGCCTTACCTTACGCGTTGGCTTCAGGCGAACGACTTTCAATGCTGCAGGGACAACCATTCTCTTCCTCTGTCAAGACAAGACCAGTTTAAGAACAGGATATCGCGAGAGACAAGCAGTCTGTATATTACAGCCTATATCTACCTACCTTATCATAAGGAGGAGGAATGCCATCAAAAACCTTCAGTCGATCCAGAGCTGCCTGGCCCCTCTTTGTCTTGTGGGGGAGCATACCTAAATTGGATAAAAGGAGATTGTGTTAAACTTTCCTTCTTAGTTCTAGCAAATCAGCTATACAATGCTAATGTGAAGTACTAAAAACTATAAAAAGCTGCCCTAGAGTCCAATAGATTTATACATTGACTTCTAGCCTTGGCAACATCATGATTAGCAGTCACACTGACCAGGACTCCTTTGCACCAAATGGAGACATAGAAGGCATACGCACCTCTTACGGTCCTCCAGAAGATGCGGCTGGGGGCTCTGAAATGGTATGGCCCACGGGAAGGGTTGGTGTTCATGCGTTTACGGAGGAAAGCAAGATATTTAACTAGAGGGAAGATAAAAAAAATAATTTTTTTTAGCCTCAAGAGAAACATTTAGATAGAAAGGATATGGACTGGTCACTATGCACGACTAGAGGCACCACCAGACCATTCAATATATAGTCACAAGAACCTACACAATATGTCCAAGCTCTTCAAATCAATCCATTTACCCAGTGCAGCAAAACCATTAGTACGAGTTGTGCAACTAAATCTCTACACAATGTCCTCATTCAAATAAAGCGGACACAAAGCCACAAGCAGTTTGTTTTCACCCTCAAGCTTAACCGTTGCTACAGTTTATACAGCGGTCTCAGATGGTAGTGCATGTAGTTATCTCAGTGTCGTAAAACTCATTTGAGAAACTTAATCATCATCACTGACCAGAAAATAATCTGCGAATATAGATTACACACAGTAAATCCTGCTCCTCAAGATCCTAGAATTAATGGTGGCACAAGATGAGATGTACAGCTATAACGATCCCTTAGATACCTCACTGAAAGTATCCACCATGGTGGACTGCTCAAATTAAGAACCTTTTAAGTATCCACCATGGTGGACTGCTCAAATTAAGAACCTTTTTAAGTGTGCCTTAACACTTCCACTTGCAAAGTGGTAAATCTGGTACCATCATGTAAAATAAACCAGGCCAATTCCTTTATGTATCAGTGTTCCTTGTAAGACTGGACAGATTTAGCCTAAATTTTAAAATCTTTGCTGCAACAGTGGACATGATCAAGACTATTATGACCACACAAGACAGTTAAAAACTACTTACGTTTGTTACGGTAGAAGTTTCCAGAAATGTTTATTCCTTCACATCGCACAACTACAACTTTGCGACCTGAAATAAAAGCATTTTATTTAAATAAAGTAAGCCAATACAGGTCCAGGAAATTCAGCCGCAAGAGCATTCCTTGCACCATAACCAATACAGTATGCTTTGAGCATTGCTTCCAACTGCATGGTATGTAAATAAATGTAATTGGCTCAATCCAAAAAAGTTAAATAAATTCTCCCACCCCATAAATTATTAACCTCATGTAAGTTGTCATTGGGCAGCAGTGCCCGGGCATTCTTGTCTTCAGGGATTACGTTTCTTTGAAACCGTTTAACTCTAGAAGCTCTGCTTCCCTCCCCTTTGCACCGGAGTAGGAGAGATTGTTTCAGCAACACTCTTAGCCCCTGACTGGTCAATGAAACCGCACATACTAGATCGTACTGCCCCAATATAAAACAATCGTAACCGTTGCTACAGTTTATACAGCGGTCTCAGATGGTAGTGCATGTAGTTATCTCAGTGTCGTAAAACTCATTTGAGAAACTTAATCATCATCACTGACCAGAAAATAATGATCTCTGAATATAGATTACACACACCTCAAGATCCCAGAATTAATGGTGGCACATCATGAGACTATCAGGTGCAGCAAACTCACCAAGCAGAACTTGTTTAGCAACAATGGCGGCGAGTCTACCAAGGAGATGACCCCTGCCGTCAATGACCAGAACCTGGAATATTAAAGAGAGGCTGTAAAAGGTGCCCGTTGCGTGCAATGTTGTTTCCATACCAGCTGGCATGTCTCAGATGGTAGTGCATGTAAATCTGTTTCACTATAAACTCAAATGAAACAAATACATCAATGACACAGATACACCATCTAATTATCCAACATTTTACAGCTAGACCTCAAGACTAAAACCATTTTAAAAGAAAATTGCGGTGAAATTTACATACTGTCAGTCAAGACATATTCGGCACGACTTTAACCCTTTAAGGACACATGGCACGTGTGACATGTCATTATTCCCTTTTTCCCCCAGAAGTTTGGTCCTTAAGGGGTTAAAGCATTCCTTTCATGGCAATGCCAACTTGGGAAAATATTAAAATATGATGTGTAAATATGGTGCGAGCTGCAGTAAATTCAACAGAGGAATCCTAGATTTACAGCATAGTGCACATTGGTATTAGGGAGGATTGACCAGTCCAGGGAGATGTACCAGCAGGGCCAAACGCTGCATAGAGGGCTGTCCATAGAGAACGGTGGGACTGGAATGAGGGTCAGCAGGCTAGTACGGAAAACCACATATTTACTTCCTTACCAACTGTTGGGTGATGGCGTACCAGTCTGCACATTAAATGTGTATTCTAGGTATGATAATGGAGATAGCCTTTAAATTGTAAGCTCACTGGTTATCAAGTTAAGCGCTTTGTATAAAAGCTTCAATGGCTAGATCTCAGCTTACAACCTTTTGTATTTGTGTATATTGTACAGCGCTGTGGAATATGTTGGTGCTTTATAAATACAAGTAATAAATAGTCCTCAGTACTGCAATGGTACCAACATGTGTGCTCCCATTTCTGTGGTTTAACACACAGGGTTCACCAGTCCATAGCTCAGTGTATTACAGAAGGAATATACATGTGATAAGCTTGGCCCAGGAATGGGGTCAAATAAAGACAGAATCAATATGCCATTTGTTAAATTGCTGTCAGAGCTTGGGGAACGATGCACGTTGGCACAAAAACCACTACAACAACAACAGCAGTATTTACAGTCCTAATGTTAATGCACAAGGGAGGAACCATTAAAGTAGTGATAGTTACCTGTTTTGCTGCCTTGGATCCGCCAACGTTCTTGTAAAAACAAGGGAGACTGACCTTGCTGGCATCGCCAAGCAGCTTCTTGGCCTGAAAATAAGATACTGAATTATTATACACACAGCAGACATAGAAACGTAGAATGCGACGGCAGATAAGAACCATTCGGCCCATCTAGTCTGCCCAATTTTCTAAATACTTTCATTAGTCCCTGGCCTTATCTTATAGTTAGGATAGCCTTATGCCTATCCACGCATGCTTAAACTCCTTTACTGTGTTAACCTCTACCACTTCAGCTGGAAGGCTATTCCATGCATCCACTACCCTCTCAGTAAAGTAATACTTCCTGATATTATTTTTAAACCTTTGTCCCTCTAATTTAAGACTATGTCCTCTTGTTGTGGTAGTTTTCTTCTTTTAAATATAGTCTCCTCCTTTACTGTGTTGATTCCCTTTATATATTTAAATGTTTCTATCATATCCCCCCTGTCTCGTCTTTCCTCCAAGCTATACATGTTAAGATCCTTTAACCTTTCCTGGTAAGTTTTATCCCGCAATCCATGAACCAGTTTAGTAGCCCTTCTCTGAACCCTCTCTAAGGTATCAATATCCTTCTGAAGATACGGTCTCCAGTACTGTGTACAATACTCCAAGTGAGGTCTCACCAGTGTTCTGTATAATGGCATGAGCACTTCCTCTTTCTACTGCTAATACCTCTCCTATACAACCAAGCATTCTGCTAGCATTTCCTGCTGCTCTATTACATTGTCTGCCTACCTTTAAGTCATCAGAAATAATCACCCCTAAATCCCTTTCCGTTACCCCATTCTGTATCTCCCAGCTTCCGAATAGGAGATAAAACGCCCCCGGGGGCCCCTCTCTCTCTGTATTTGGCTCCCGGGGGCCCCTCTCTCTCTGTATTTGGCTCCCGGGGGCCCCTCTCTCTCTGTATTTGGCTCCCCGGGGCCCCTCTCTCTCTGTATTTGGCCCCCGGGGGCCCCTCTCTCTCTCTCTCTGTATTTGGCTCCCGGGGGCCCCTCTCTCTCTGTATTTGGCCCCCGGGGGCCCCTCTCTCTCTCTCTCTGTATTTGGCTCCCGGGGGCCCCTCTCTCTCTGTATTTGGCTCCCGGGGGCCCCTCTCTCCCTGTATTTGGCCCCCGGGGGCCCCAGATCCCGCCGCTCCAGCCGCAGCCCCCACCTGTATGTCCGCCATGTTCTCCGGCCGGATGGAAAGAGAGCGAGCTCGGCACGGGGTCTCCTTAAACTGGGCAGGGACCGGAACTGGCGTCACTTCCGCCCGACACTGTCTGCTTCCGGTGCGGCCATGGGCGCCGCCATTACTGGCAACCGGGGGCCCCCATTAACTGCACCAGGGGCCCCTATACCGCTCCTGGGGGCCCCTATACCGCTCCTGGGGGCCCAGCGGAAATGGAGACTAACTGAGACCCGTCTGGCCTGTTATTGTTTATTATTAATTAATTATTTTATTTAGGACACAATATATTTCATGCTATAAATTTTTATTATTATTCATTAATTATTAATTATTTGTTATATTTTATTATTTATTTATTATTTATTAATTAATTATTGTTTGTTATATTTTATTTAGGACACAATATATTTCACGCTATAATATAAATATTTATTATTCTCAGTTGATCCCTCCGGTGACACTGCGCTGTAATAAACGTCACATAATCGCTTCGCTCCCGGAATACAGCCACATCATGGTTAGACAAACAAACGTCAGCACCAACAATATGAGCTCCAGGAAATTGGGCCGAACGTCTGAATGACATTAATTAGCACAACCAATAAAGGTTAAAAGACACGAGTCACCCGGGTCATGTCATCGAAGCCATAAGGCAGCACAGGCGGCCACCTCGGCAAGGAGGGGGCAGTATTGCAGGGGAGGAGGGAGGGAAGGGGAGAGGGCAAGGAGGGGGGCAGTATTACCGGGGGGGTGGAGGAGGGGGGCAGTATTACCAGGAGGGGAGGAGGGGCACCATTCTGTTTGGTAATTCGAATGGTACTTTGACAGTTTGAAATAGACCGGCCGCACAGCCTAACTCTCTGAAACTGTTTTGGGCAGGAAACCATGCTTGTGGTCGATCAAAAGAGATTTCCAGGAATTTCCTGAACACCTGCTCTGATCTGGGTGATTTTTGGATATGATGTTCACCCAGATCAGGGCTATCAGGGGATATGTTGTATTGTGGGGTACTTATGAGACTTTGTAAAATATGTGTTTTTTATGCTTGGGGATAATTACATTAATCCATTATCTGCCTTAATTGTATCACAGGCAGAGGGGAGGGATTGTGTACTGTATGTGGGAGTGTCATTCCTTATCACATTGTGTAGCGGATGGCACTGGGCTGTCCTGAAAACTGCATGTGTGTAACTGTATTCGTGTAAATTGCAGGTTTATATGTGTCTAAATAACGTGTATTCATCTGATTGTTCGGTAGAATCATTTGAACAAACTAAGGGAATGAAACTACTGAACAGTCAGACCTCCCCTGTGTGAAGTGTGCCTTCAATTACCCGTTGCAAAAATGTTGCGAATGGGTAATTAACAAGCTGTGCAGTGGGTCCTTTGTTCTCTGGGTGGCCGCCATTCGGGAAACGAACATGTGGCGGCTGCCATTTTAAAACTCCCGAACAGCAGTGTTTTGCCATCGAGTGTCTGGAACCCAAATCGGACACTCGACTAGGCAAACACCGCTGAGAACTCCATACGCACGATACGTTCGCTTCCAAACTACCGAACGGCCCCTCGTTCGGTAGAAAGAAACAACCGAACGAGGGGATTCATGCGAACCCTACCTGATCTCTGTAGCCTTAGCCTTTCGTGCAATTTGTTCCCTTATACTGTGACCGACCGCAGGGCCCCATCGCATGGAACCCAATTCGGCTGTTCTCTCCAGCGCGGTCGGTCTTTTTATTACCTCCACGAATTTCCAGAACGCCTGGTCCGATCTGGGTGATTTTTGGATATGTTGCTCACCCAGATCAGGGCTACCAGGGGATGTGCCATTTAAAGGGGTACCCCTAGGTTTAGGGGTACATCCAGAAACTGGGGGTATTGGTGTACAGTATAAGGGGATTATGAGTCAGCCTGAGGGGAGGAGATGTGTGGGAGGTTACTAGAGCAGGATTGGATACTGTAATAATTAATGGAAATCCCTCCCTTGCATGGGAGCATGCTTTATAAGGCCACTGTGGAAATAAAAGTTTAGTTCTGCCCCTGATGCTGTGTGTCGTCCAGTTATTGGGATTGCTGTTGGGATATTGCTATATTGTTTTCCTGCTGGAAACCTTGTTTTATGGATTTATAACTACTTGTTCCTGAGCCTCACTGGGACCTTAAGTGGAGATAACTTGTGGAATACTGGATCTCCGCTACACATTGTTTTTATTGGCTTGCATACTTTGTGTCCTGTGCCTAACAAGGTCCACTTGGGTGTCAACCTTGTTGAGAAAATTGTATAAAAGGCCAGTGTGCCCCATTAAAGCTGAGTTCCTGTTTTACCCTCAAAATAGAGCCTCATCTTATGTGTGGGAGGAAAGGCTGCATCTACCCTGGGGATTGCTATATCACACTACTCCCCAGGAAGTTTAATCACTAAGCTCTTTTAAGAGCTATTCCTGCTACTCTCTCTTGGAGGAGAGGTTCACCCAATGGAAGCTGGATCATGGTTTTGGGTCCAGGGTGCGTGGAGGACGGCGAGTCCCAGCCGTAAGCTGTAACGTTGGATGTGGGGACTGCAGTGCTGATGGTGTCTGGTGGAGTGCTTGGAGGCCTCGGTGAGCACTAGGAGCATCCATCGGCGGAGCTACCCAAGCGGGGTACAGGAAGCTCTGTTACACAGGCAAAAGGCCGCACCTGTCAAAGTGCTGCCCGGAGACATGGCGCCACTGGGATGGGCCAGCCCTTACATATACAGACACAGATGCACACACACAGATACACAGACATACAGATGCACACATTAACACAGACATACAGATGCACACACAGATATACGGACATACAGATAGACAGACAAACACACAGATACACAAACATACAGATATGCACATTGATACACAGATATGCAGATGCATACACTGACACACACACAATACACAGACATACAGATACACACACACACAAAGATGCAGACATACAGATACACACTAACAAACACACAGACATACAGATACATAGACTGACACATATACACAGACTCACACACTGATATACAGACATACAGATATGCATACTGACAAACACTCAGATACACAGAGATGCACAGACATGCACATTGACAGATACACAGACATACAGATACACACTGACACATGCAGACATACAATTACACACACTGAAACAGATATAAAGACATACAGATATGCACATTGACACACACATGCACAGACATACAGATACACACATTGAACCAAACACAGATACACACACACTGACAAACACACAGATACACAAACATACAGATATGCACATTGACACACAGACATACAGATGCACACACTGACACATAGACAATACACAGACCTACAGATGCACACTGACACACATACAGTACACAGACATACAGATGCACACTGACACACATACACACAAAGATACAGACATACAGCTACACTAACATACATACAGATACAGACAGATACATAGGCTGACAAACACACACACTGACACAGACATACAGATATGAACACTGACAAGCTCTCACATTCACAGACTTAGAGATACACGCAGACATACATATATGCTCATTGATACACACATGCACAGACATACAGATACACACAGATACAGATACACTGACATACATACAAACAGACATACAGATACAGTGACACACACACACATAGATACACAGACATACAGATACAAACACTACATACATACTGACACCCAAAACACACATACACAAACCTTTTGGGTGGCTTCTGTGGCTGAGGCTGTTGGGAGTTGAGGTCCCGTTCCAGTCCTCTCTGCCCCTCTCCCTTCGCAGCCCCTTCCCGCACAGCTTAATTATAGATGGGAGGAAGTGTGCGTCTCAATCCCAATTCCTCCCAGAACTCCAGTTAGGTTTAAAAGGGCCCATTTGCACTATTACAGTGCTGCAGTGCACGACCAGGCCCCTCATAGCACATATCCATCGGGTGGCCCTGAGTTGCACTGACGCAATTACAGGGTTTTTGCGCACATTCCCTGGGGCACTGAATTGTACCCCTAGAGGTACACGTACCACGGGGTGGGAACCAGTGATGTACAACAATCAGTGACCTAACCATCACCCACACACAATCCATAGTCACAGACCATCCCCTGGCTATCCATGTACGTCAATCAGTGATCTAACCATCAATCACACATAATCCATAGACACAGATCATCCCATGGGTGTCCTAACCATCACCCACACATAATCCATAGTCACACACCATCCCCTGGGTATCCATGTACGTCAATCAGTGATCTAACCATCAATCACACACAATCCATAGTCACAGACCATCCCCTTGGTATCCATGTATGTCAATCAGTGACCTAACTAACAACCACACACAATCCATAGTCACAGATCATCCCCTCGGTATCCATGTACGTCAATCAGTGACCTAACCAACAACCACACACAATCCATAGTCACAGATCATCCCATAGGTGCCCTAACCATCACCCACACATAATCCATAGTCACAGTCCATCCCCTGGCTATCCATGTACAGATATCAGTGACCTAACCATCAACCACACATTATTATTTTATCATTTATATAGCGCCAACAAATTCCGTAGCGCTGTACAATGGGTGGACTAACAGACACATAATTGAGATCAGGCCACTGGACGTACAGGAACAGAGGGGGTTGAGGGCCCTGCTCGATGAGCTTACATGCTAGAGGGAGTGGGGTATAGTGACACAAAGGGTTAAAGTAGGGGAATTAAATAGTTTGTCAGAGAAGGGTTTATTGAGTGCTTGGTAGGTCATTTTTGACAGGTGAAGGAACGGAGTCATGGGGTGGGGGATGAGAAACCTGCTGACAGTTTAATTGATACGCTTTAATGAAGAAGTGAGTTTTCAAAGATTTTTTGAAGGAGTGGAGGCTGGGTGAAAGTCTGATTGAGGAGGGAAGGGAGTTCCACAGAATAGGTGCAGCCCTGGAGAAGTCTTGAAGGCGAGCATCAGAGGT